AATAATATAGGTACGTCTACATTTAGGGTGTATACGTCTCAAAAGGATTAGACGCGATAAATTTAATATCAAAGGTGAATGTACTAAAACAATTTTTTTTATGGTTCTTACAAATTGCGAATTGAATTGATAGATAATAAAAAAAAGCAAGGATGTTGTACTAGTATAATCTTGGATATAAAACGTCCGTGGGAAATCGAATAAATCGTTATGAGTTTAGTAAATCAATATAGTATAATATAGAATTATACATTTTAGTTACCTATATGATTTAATTAATATAATTGATTGATGAACATAGAGTAAAATAATTAGAATATATGAGTACAAATATATATTGGATTTGTGATCTTTAATTTATTTCTATAATAGTGCAACTGAGTAGTCACTGAGAAAAGTGTGGTAATTTCGTAATAAGGTTTTTAATTTTGTTATAGTGGTTAATTTAGTAGGTACACCATAATTTAAATATGTTTTTTAAATAATTTTTTATTGAATAAGTACGTATAACATCATAACAAAAAAGACGTCTTAAGGCGCGTACACACGAGCGCACACTGTGCGACGAACAGCGTGAGGCTATTCGACCAATTCGTCAACGTTCGGTGAATAGGCCGCGCAAACACACATGGCAAGACGATCGTTGTTGGTATTTTGGTCATGATCAAAGTAATACCCCGAGCATTTGTGCGTCCGTCTGGACGGTTAATTTTAATTTCTGTGCGTCGAAATATTTTCCATTGGTATTAGTTTATGGTTGTAGATTTAAAATATGGCATAATATGTATGGGCGCAATTAAGTTGGAGCTAAGGGGAGCTTTGCCGCCTCAAACGATATAATGACAAATTACAAATTAAGAGCCATTTATTGGAACCATTTATTACCGAGAATTATTATGTTGTTAGTATGAAAAACCCATATGATTTGTACGAATTTAGTGTTGGATAATGAATTTAAGTACCTTCCCAATCAGATTTCCTTTCAGAAATAGTGCTATCATTTTAAATGAGAGCGAAATTGCTGGTAGAAAAGTTGTACACAGAAAAAAAAAGGCCATAATATTTTTTTATTATAACTTACATTATGTACATTTTATCCCAGGTTTTCCCAGATATTATGGAAACCGCTTGAAAAATCAGAAAATAAGCTACACTTGATACATTAGAGCAAGATTTCTGGTAGAAAAGTTTGCACAACAAATCGAGGGGTATTTTGCGATTAAAATAGTCCGAGGCAGCGATGACTTGGGTCTCTAGGTACATCTAAAATGCATTTTGTTTTTTTCTTGTTTAGGTAAAAGGGAAAAAGAAATGCAAACAATTTTTTTTCCTCATACTGGTTTGAATTCGGAACCCCTAGGATGATAATAGGCATGAGTAACCATTAGATCACGACAAATATGCTTTAAAGAGGACAATATAGAGTTATTTAACATAACATATAATATCCGCATAATATCAGAACTTCAAAACGCTACAATTTCGAAACTTAGTCAGTCCGCTTAATTCTGACTTCACCAGCGTTCTTAAATCGGCAATATACATATATTCAACAAATTTAGATTTGATGCAAATAATTTGTCCGTCAAAATTTGATATTATGATTTCCTTATAAAAAAAAATTACTACATTAAACTCAATTTTTTTTACTACAAAGTAAGACTTGATGAACATTATGTTAAATTTTCAAGCATTTCTATTAAATCTAAAAATTTTACTTCAGAGTACTGAATTACAACAAATAACAAAATTGAAAAAAATAAAAGCATTTTATTCGTAAATTTTCCGTTTTTCTTACATTGTATCCTGGTTTTACCCAGATATTTCATAATATCTGGGAACCGCTTGGAAAATGAATAAGTAACTTCCTAAAAGTACCATCTGGATAACATTCCCTTTCAGAAATGGTGCCACGCGTAAATATCTGAGCAAGATTTCTGGTAAAATTTGTGTACAGAGTATATATATATATATATATATATATATATAAAAAAAAAAAATAAACATAGTAAAACCAATACATTCTTCGCTACACTCATAATCTAAAATATTTATATTTCTATATCAACAGGTCAATAATTATCTTTAATATTAAAACTAACATCAAAAATAGCACAATCCTTGCAGCTTACTGAACAAACATTTTCTCAGTCGTGCGTTTGTAAGGTGGAGATGGTACATGCTAGTGTGGTGTCTTCTCAATCGCAATATTTAAATATAAAAATGTGGGTATTTTTAGAAAATGCCCAATTTACAGAGCCCGAAAAAGTATTTTTTGTGTTTAAATTCTTTAGTTTCTTATTAAACTTCACAATTTATGTTCCAAGTAACGTGCATAATTCGTAAATTCGCCATGTGACCCATTAGTTAGAGACTGTAGTAAACGCGCCGTTATAGACTCCATTTGTGTATGATACAATTATTAATATACTACAGTACGCTATTTCTTTATACAGTATTATTTTTTTTTCATAAAATATATAAGTAAATACGTGTTAGTATATGTGCTCGACGTGTCATTTTTGTTCCCATCATCTTAAAGTACGTAGTGCTATATTATAAACGCGTTTATTGTCCAACTACTATAATACAATATTTATGACGTGTTCGACGTGACAGACTGGAAGGTTATAGGTTAGGTTAGGTAATATAACATGATAATATTATTATAGAGTATAATAGTACCTATCGCTAAAACCAAATACATATATATATATATATATATATATATATAGAGTGTCAATAAATAATAATGATATATTATATAATATTGCAGTATTTTAAAACAATCTCGTACGAGTTATATAATATTATGTAGGTATCTGCGGTTGAACGGTGTTCGTTATTTAACCGTGTATATTCAAAATATTTAGTTACCTACTTATCATACTTATTATTCGTGTGAATATGCGATTTCATTGTAGCGTTTTTACTCGGCTATCAACAACGGCCGCACACAAATATTGCATCCGTTCTACCTACGAACTTAAACTTCTATACATTTGTGGCTTGGTGAGAGAAGGGTCAATTTAAATTTTTTTGAAAAAAATCACTTAAAAATAAAAAAAAAAATTATTTTGTAAAAACTGAAAATTATACAAATACTTGCATTTAATAAAATACACATAGTCTTATGGAGAATTAAAATTTCAAAGCCCATTTCACAACAATATTTTTATTGTTAGGGGATATTTTGAGAGTGCACCGGACTTACCCAAGCAGAGTATTGAACGAACAAACAATTACAAAAAAATATAAACGCCTCTCCCTGTGGAAACAATATTGGTTATAATAAAATATTTTTTGTCGCATGTACGTGTACCTAACTTATATGTATACCAGAAATAAAAACTATGCTGTTTTTGGATTTTAATTATATATTTCTTGTGTAAGCCCCACTTTAGTGGTTAAATTTTAAACCATTTTAAACATTAAACATTAAACATTTTAAACCATCTCTCTCTCTCACTCAAACACCATTGAAACTACTAATAATAAACAGTACAATTTTCAGAGAAATTGGATGAGTAGTTTTTAAATCTATTATAAACCACACCATACAATAGTGCCTTTTATACATAAACTACATACATATACATAAACATAAATCCATTAAAATTGCCTATACACAACTCCTTAAATATTTCCATTTTTGTATTCTCATTAGTATACGATTTGTATACGGTTCATAATAATATTATAATATACCATAATAATAGTACAATAAAGAAAAATGGTATGTTTTTTTTCATAATAACTTATTAATAAACTATCGGACTATAATTTTGCATTTATTATTTTTAAATAATAATATAATGTTTTTCAAGTAACCAACAACTATCAACATAATACCCATTGACTCATAATACATAGTTACCTACTTATTATTTATCCACGGTCAGTAATTATTATTCGAATCAACTGTAGTATTTTTTTTTTAACGACCAATGAAAAAATAAATTGATAGTTTGTGGTGAGACGAAAATACATTGTTGCAGGATATAATGAAGTGTAGGTTTGATCCCGAGACGTTTATTATAATTGATCTTTTTAAACGTCGTTCCTCCTAAAGGATATGATTAAGAATCACCATAATATATATTTCCCTTTAACAAAACGTAAAATTATTTACAGACATAAATTATATGCTAAATTTATGGTTATAATAGATGTTGAAGATTAATATTTCTTAATGCTGTAATTATCATCATTATTCTAATGCAACATTTAGCGTTTCCACATCTCCAGCAAATGCGGTGTAATCAGAAGTATTCACAATGTCATAAAAAGCAAAGTATCTAACTCAGACCGAAGACTGAGGTTAGCCATTAAGTCGCTGTGGTAAAAATTATTATTTAAACGAAAAAAAAAATTCGATACGAGGTTTTAGATTTTTGGTCATCCAAATCAAGGCTTGTTATTTTTGTTACCAAAATCGTGATTGATCTGTACACGTGTTTTCAACGTTTACTGAAGAATAGTTGAATATCAGTTAATTAATCCTCAAAATGTCTGCCACTTAAAACGAAAACATGGACGTTAAAGTACATTTTTTTCCAAATTGACGAATTCTATCTCAGGTTTCTTTTTTCTTTAGATTTTTAGCAAAACGAGTAATGCATAATAAATACAAATTAACGCATCAAATTGTATATGTTTATCATTTCTACCATAATATAGATGCGATTATTATTATTATTTGTTATCACTCTTTGTTTGATTTTTAAAACTCGATAAAAAAATTAAAATGTTAAAACTACATATAGCGGTATTAATATAATACGATGAACTAAAGTGATCGTGAAAACATGGTGCTTATGCACAACAGGCAAAAGCATCTTTTTGAAAGAATTTAGAGATAAAATTCATAATATTACTAAAAAAATTATTTCGGTTAGACAAATGCACTAAAAGAGAAAAATATTTCGAGACTTTATCCCTCGGAATCGTGTAATGATAAATAATTTATATAAACCTTCCGAGTGTACGAAAGAAACGAATTACTTTTCAGATGAATGCGACTTACTCGTCGAAATGTTATTCTTTCCAAACACAGAATTTCGAAACTTAAACCATCCGAGTCCCACTGGGACGTGTATACATAATAAATATACGTCCCAGAAAGTTTTCACACATCCCAAGGCTCACCTGCAGTTCACTTTAAATAACGAGTTGGTAGGTATAATATTATTGCATAATAATAATATGTTCCAAACGGTTTCTTCTTTTGGAATTTCATGAAAACGAAGTGGTTGAATTAACGGCTAAACATCCGTTTTATTCTACAATATTATGTAAAACATTTGTTCGCGCGTCGTATTTTTTAGTATATTTCGATATCATTTTGAATAAGTTTGTTTCGCGTTTTTGAAAAGTGACAAATATAGATAAACCGTATAATATAATATTACAATACTCGTTTTTCCCGAGAGTAGACGTTTTCCTCTACTAAGCTTAACTCCCTTAGCTGTTGAAATTATACTTGATATTATTATTATATAATCGTTTACCTTGAACTGGGTTGAATCTGCGCTTCAAATAGTTTAAGAAACGTCCGGTGATGGACAAGTTCCGGTGCCTCTGCGACCGTCTCTTGCCGTCCGGATGGTAATGCTGTTGGCCCGTTGGTCCGCGGGATGTACAGTCACCAGTACCACCGGCGCCCGCTCCGCCACCACTGCCGCCAACGCTGCCGACACCATCGGATCCACCACCCTGAAGATTTTGCCCGTGGTGATGGTGGTGCTGCTGATGGTGGTGCTGCTGATGGTGGTGCTGCTGATGGTGATGATGGTGGTGGTGATGCGGTTGCGAGGATTGCCCGTGCTGGTGCTGTTGAGTTTGCTGACGGTTGTCTCGCCGTTCGCGGCCGTAGTTCTGGTGCGCTACCACGCTGTACATGATTCTGCTGAGTCGCACGTAATCCGGATCATTCACTACACGCACACTGTATAAAATAATAATAATAAAAAAAAGTTAAAAACCACAGAATACACCAGTATTGAGAGGTTTTTGTAGACGGACATTATACCGGGTCTGACATTATCAACATCTCAAAGCAGGTATTTAAAATCTAAATTTCTGTACTGGGGTCAAACCTGAATTTATTTTTTTTCCTTTGATTACAGGGTAGAAAAACCTACTTGAAAAAATAAAACAAATTCTAGTTAAACATTTTAACTTGAGCTAATAACTTAAATATGAAGAGATAGAGATTTAAAAACCTATTTGGCGAAACTTTAGTGCATAGTTGGAATCTTAGAGTGCAGTGGAAAAGTTGGACGGACCGTGTAGTGAGAATGGTAGAAGGGCTATCGGATAGACGGAGCTCAAACACTAAGACACCTAGATGTAAGTCAAGACAAAGGTGAACGGATGGAGTAAAAGAAGACTTATAAGTTATAGAGTTGCTGAGAGTCTGCAAGAATGCGGAAAAAGCTGCAAGTGATAGAGTAGAGTAGAGACACTGTGTTATTGATGCGAAATTGAGACTTACATATTGGATCTTAATAATTATTGGCCCTGTAACTCAGATATCAAAAAATGTGTTAGGTAAAAGTGTAAGAAAATGCGCCTATAAATTGTATAATAGTAAAACAATAATTAGTTAAAACCAAAAAGGAATATTTCAGGGTAATTTGTACGTTTGGAAAATATTAAGTACAATACTTTCGAAAACAAGTATGGTTAGTGACCTTGCATTTATATAATCGGATATTAATGATATGACATCATTGATTTAAATAAGATAATAATATTTTTAATTTACCCGGCACTTAAAATTTAAAAACGACAATTATTTTAGTTATAAGTTACCTAACGTATAATTTTAGAAAGACAATGAGAATTAATATTTTTTTTTTTATTTAATAAATAGCTATAATAATTGCTACATAATTTCTAACAATAGTCATTATTGTTTTGTTTTATTGTCAATGAAATATACGAAACGCGTATCCATGTATGGTTTGATTATATAGTTTAAAATAAGGTTCCATAGTGTTTCTTCAGTAGCCATTTGATTAAATTTATTAGATGTTATATATTATAATATTATTAATACAAAGGGCGTGGACTTGACATTCAAACCTTTCTTAAATTATTGTAATTATACTATTGGGTAGGTAGGTACTTAAAATAGGCAAAAACAATATGTGGGCACCGCACATAGTCTGAATTTACGAGTAGGTAACATCATATTATAACTATTGCATTTTATGTAAAAAAAAAAAACGGAACAAAAGAATTATTATTGTAAACGTGTTTTTTAGATTCGGAGCGTAGCGAGGGATCTATTGATTTAACTATGATGTGTGCTTTTTTTCCGTCTATAAACAACTTTTTGAAAAGAAATCTTACTCTGATGTATAATACTCTTTCTAAATGGAAATTTTGTTCAGTCGGTGCATTAAAGAAGTCATTTTTTTGATTTTCCATAAGGTTTTCGAAATAATTCGGAAAAACACAAAAGAAAATTATAGATAAAACGGCAAATATTTACAGCGTACCGTTTTCATTGTATTCATTTGTATACACGATGTTTTCTACTAGAAATAAGATATAATAATAATAAAAGATCGATTTTTTCATTTTAATATATAACCACTATCAGAGAAAGTAGGCTTTTAATATTTTTCATAATTTGGAAAACAAAAAAAAAAAAAAACGAAAAATACTATTTTTTCAAATTGCGGCGCAACAATATCATTATTTAAAATGTTTATGGTTAATGTTTTCTACCATAAATATTGCTCCAATAGAAAAAAAACGACAAAAACTAATTTTTTGTTGCAATTTTAATCTACCTATAGTTTGTGAATAAGTTATTCGTTTTTTGATTATTTTCGGCAGTTTTTGTAATAATTGAGCAAAACCAAAAAATAAGTCAAAGGAACCGGGAAATTTTTTTTAATGTAATTCATTTAAAAATATTCGTAGAGACTTGAAATTTCGATAAAAAACTTATATTTGCCTTTTCTAGACGCGGGAACATTTTCAAAACATTATAGCCATATTTTAAAGCTATTAGACATTTTAATTTTGCGAATTTTTTTACGTAATTCAAAATATACTATATTATAGGATAATGGCCATTTTTTTCTGTATATTACATTTTCGTGAAAACGTTTTCGGTAAACTAATTTTTATAGTATAACTTTAGAAACATGTGGCATTGTAACATTGTAGTGATCTTTTTAAATTATGTGGTGCTATCGATAAATGCTTCAACGGACCGAAAGAGTAATAAGCCCACCAGCAGGAAGTGTACTAAACAGAATAAAAGAAAAATGAGAATACAATTATTAATAATAATTATTATTATTATCAAACGTGAAAATAGTGTTGTAACGGTCATGAGCAAATCATTTTATTCGGTCTTGAGCAAAAATGTAAGTCAGTATACGAATACTAGACTAGGTCGTAGTAGTAGATAGGTACAAAATTAATTCGTCCTTAACATTATCTAATACGTAATTTAAATTTGACTGGTAACTCAGATCTCGTATGTAATCGATTTGTTTCTTTAGCTGTAGTCGAGTCGGACGAAGTGGATTAGGTGTCATTAATAACTCGGTTATCAAGGCGGCTTGAATATTATACGATTTTCGTTTAAATATAATTATTATCACAGATACGAGGAGACAGGCCATTGGACATTATTTATGTATTATGGCACATTATAATATTATATATATATCACTGGTAAAATAATTGTTCGGCAAGCGTTTGAATAACGTTATTATTTATCATATTGACAAAACGAGTCCTTTCACATTTCTGTCGCTTCGATTTCCACCGGGCATCCTTATCGACAATCGATTGATCGGCGTCGTCCCGCATACAAACATCTATGCAATTGATCTAATATACAAAACGTTGACGAATAATAATATTATTATCTATAATATATACTTAGGTACAGCTGTCTGGTTATTCTTAAATTTTTTTAAAAAAAAAAAAAAAAATTCTAATAAACCTTATATTGGATCACTTTGTGTAATATGAAAATTGACTATTATTTTATAATAAACTGCTTGAAACATTGTCAAACGTTATATCATTACATAAATATTAAATACATATAATACTACTATAATATAATTTATTTTATATTTTATAAATGTGAAAGTTTGCAAGGATGTTTGTTACTCTTTCATGCAAAAACTACTGAACTAATTTTGATAAATGTTGGTATAGAGATAGATGTGACTTCGGAGAAAAACATAGGTTACTTTTTATTTAGAAAATAAAACTTAAAGGAGATGAAATATGATAGGTGTTTAGGTATTTTTGGTACGAGTATTAAATTATTTTTTTGGCTTATTGATTACTATAGTAACACGGATAAAATGAAAAAAAAAACCAAAACATAAAAATAAATAATAAGTAGAAATAAATTGCCATAACAACTAAACCAACTTAAAATAAATAGTCTATCTGACTGTCTGCCGGTCTTTTATTAGCTTGAAATAGAATGGGCTACCTTGGTAACAAGAATGAAAAAAAAACAAAAAACTATACTCTGTTTTGGGTGGGTAAGTGAAATGTGAAAATACGTAAAACGTCATCTTTGAATCTTTGTATTTTTTGGTACAAAAACACTAAAGTACTATTATGTCCTCATAATTTTAAGGTTATTATAGTAGGTATATAGTTTAATCCCTGTGTTGTGCGGGTATCTATGGTAATACGAATGAAAAAATGTATGATACATTAGAATACTTTTAGCCCGCAGGCTACCCACTTTTCACCTATTTTTTTTAGTTCAATATACTGATACGGACAAGGCAAAATGGAAATAAAGACAAAAAGAAAAAAATAATAGCACTAACAACGCCGGGCGCGGGGCAGCTAGTATATTATAGTAAAGGAACTCGAGGAGAGGCTTAGTCATTTTCTAGTGGCTTGAATTTAACAAATTGAAAAAAAAAAAATGACAAAAACACCCAGACCAAATATATATTTTGTTGCCTACGTTATTTCCGATAAACTCCGTGTGTATGGCCATGAATACATTCATTAAATTGCTCAAATGCAATAAAATAATATTAATGTATGGAAATTCATGCGAGGAAAAATTACGATAATATATCAATAGGTATAGGTACGTAGATTTATAAAATAGGTGCCTGGTTGTGTGAATATTATTGGTTTTTAAATTTTTTCCATTAAAAAAAAACAAACTAAACAGCGTACTGAAAATACACGCACTATGGTATTAAACCGTATAGGTATAAAATATGACAATAATATTGTTTATGAAAAAAAAAGAAAATAATATCATTTAGTAAAATATAAATTGTAATTACAATAGTATACAAACTATAAAAAATAAATTAAATAAGTGACGGTGAATGAGATTATACGAGTTAGATTTTTCTTGTCCGTTATCACCCCAATCATAAACATCAAGCTGAAATATCTACCACAAACATTTTTAATAAATATCAAAATATTAAAATTTGATCATACCATATTTGTACGATATGTTCTCATTTGTTTGTATATAATTTTTAATTTTCAGACATTTAAGATTTGAGTAACCTATAACGGTACATTTTTTTTTAAACAGTAAATTGATATTTTTTTATTTTTGTTGCTAATTGTTTTGATATAATTATATTTAATATTACTTAATATTTGTAATATACAAATATTGAGAAAATGCGAGAAAATTGTAATTTGATAACGCGTTTAGTGTTTATTTTATTTATAATGATCGCCGCACGGTCTGAGATGAATGAATCCCTTGGTCAAATTTTATGGCGATCCCGATGATAATGTCGGTAGAAATAGTATTAGTATTTGATTCTGAGCGGAGCGAAGACTGTATTGGTTTTACAATGATTGTATTATCTATTTTTTTTCTGTTGATAACTTTTCTATCAGTGATTTTGTTC